ATATGAACAAAATCCAAACCAGTAGATGTGCATTGTGGATAATATTTTTATACCAGTGTTGACAACACACTGGCCTGCCCAATTAACAAATATTTGCAGTGGTTACTTAAAAATATAATTGTTAGTATTGCAAATGCCATAAATAAATGTCAACACAAACAGGAAACCGGAATAACTATTTAAAATAAATATAGCTACGTCATGCACGGTCTGCACTGCAGGTTGACACTACGCGGCGTATGAGTAACATGCCAACATTGAAAACAAAAACACATGCAAGCGCATTCAGATTTCAGTAGACTCAGTGGTCCAATTATAGATGGTGTTAAAAGTGTAACATAAAAGAAAGAAATTTGAAGAAACTTATGAGAGCTCTTAGATTCACCCCGTAAGTGTAGGAGGAGGAACGAAAATCCAATGGCTGTACAGTAGAGGCAACATCTATATATTCGATAAAGATGAAAAATAAGAAACAAACAAGAAAGACAAATTATAATAAGAAAATTAGAAGTGAAATTGGAAAAATTATTTTAATAACAAAAAGCGGCATTTTTGTTGAGTTTGTTTGTACTTAAATTACAATTACAAAGTATCAGCAAAATAACATTTATGTTTAGTTTATGAAATTTAATTTTTATTATCAACACCTTCACTTTTGTTTGAAATTTCCTTTTAATATACCGTGGGCATTTTAAGACACACAACATTTTGTACGTTCTGTATTTTCAATATAGACGGATAAGTATTTTTTAATTTTTAGTTTTGCCGATTTCAGTATTTAGCAATTGGCCTTGGCAGTTTTTGTTGAATTTATGTCATTGTTGCTGTGGTTATAGAGGTTATCTACATCCTGCTTAGCGGTCTGTTTCGACGGGTCAGACTATAGGGGCTGGGATTCATAGGGAATGCAGAAAGGTGGTTAGACTCATGCGGCGATTCAGTGCACGCAGGTCATATACAATATTTGGTGTGTCGGGGTCTATTTTGGATTGGATAGACAATTCGAGCTCTTTGTTCATTTACTGGGAGGGAGTCAGTGAAAGTGTTAATTGCCACTGTAATTGGAGTTCAGAGCGCGTCTGATGTTAGTTGCGTCCGTTGTTTGGTCGTTCAATTGTTTTATGTTGCAAGTGTGATTTCCACGAAAGCATCATACCGCCAACTGCATGGAGGAGTGTGCATTGTGTTTTTTACCCGGGAGCATGCAGGCCACATTTTGCAGTTGTTCGATGGGAGACAACAAGTTCTGTCATGTCCGAAGCTTCTTAGTCTGCGTTACATGTGTTCAATTTATAAAAATCGTCAAAGTACAAAAAAACAATAAAATTAAAAATGAGATCTCATGTTGGTTAGAAATTTTTACCAAAGGATTTATGACCGAAATCTGCACAAAATGCACTTCAACTGCCTCCCAGGTATTTTTTTTGTCATAAGTATGTTTTATAAATTTGTCTTGCCAAAAAAAAATGTATGCACTTCTTTTTTTGTCACACTGTATAACACTTATTATACAACAATTTATAATTGTTTTTGTCATTTCGTATACTTTTCTGATTCACGCTTTCTTTAAAAATAAATTTGCAATTGAAATATATTTTCTGCACTCCGTTTAACTGATGTAGTTAACAAAATATACGAACCACCAAGATTTGGCGTCGAATTGCCATGAGGCAGGCCTTTCGTTGTGCACCCACATGTTGCCATCATTCCCGTCTGTGATTTGGCTGACTGTTGCTGGCGAACGTGATGACGTTCACCACCACATTGTTGATGTTGGTTTTGTTGCGTTGGCATGGTACGATGGCGATGGCGATCCCAAACGTGACCAGGATTGCCTCCGGTGAAAACGAATTTTTCAAAACTGTTGCCCATCGTGTTTTGTGAGCTACTTTGTTACATTCACTGTTATCTTTTTTTTATTTTTGTGAATTATATTTATCTTGGTTGTTTTTTATTTACTTTTAGTAATTTAACACTATTTTTTTTATATTTATGATTTAATAAATGTAATAGAAGTATTGAGGTAATATTTGTAATGGATATGTAAATATATATTAGTTAAGCGCTATGCAGAAAATTTTACTGATTTCAGTTCAAAAAATTAGTTGAATGTTCTGAGTTCACACACGAAAGTTAACTTTTATGTGTAAATTTAGTATAAATTGTGTCTGGACTAATGATCTCATAAAGTACAACAATTAAGTAAATGATGAGATAATGAGAAATACTCTACAAAAAAATCTACAAAACAAATAAATTTCCCACGTCTAATTTACACATCAACTCAATAACTTAAAATAAATTTGGAATGCTGGTAATTATGTATTCATATTTGATAAAATGGAAGTATAAGTAATTATAGTTCAACGTTGTAATTTCTAATAATTTTAAAGCAATAAAGTAATAAAATTATATATAATATATTTAAGGTGAAAAATTGAAAAGAGCTGCAATCATAATCCATACATAATAATATATGATCCATATGTATATATGTATGTATGTACATCCATGGAAAATTAATTTAACACACAGTTGAAACTAATATTGACACGCGAATCTGCATATTAATAATTAAGAAACGAATATCAGTTCGAAAATTCTTATTTAAAACACACATATTCAAAAATCAGTCTTATCGCTCCTAAAAACTGTGCAACCAATTAAAAAACCCAACTATTAAGCTTCATTTTAGCTAATGGCGGATATTGAAGATAAAATCAAGTGGTGATAAAAATTTTAAAGTATTTACATGTGTGCAACTGTAGTACATTACAGTTCCTTGTTTTTTTTTTCAAAAAATATGTATGTTATGGGAACCCTCATAGACTCAGAAATATTTATAACATAGTATACAAAGTACTGACAATTTGTTCTGTATTAATTAAAACACATTTTTGGTAGGTCAGCGTCAAATTATAAAACAACAAACACACGTACATACATACTTATGTATATTTCTTGAATAAACAAATAAATAATAAAATTGTCCTTGAAAACTTAGCTGACGTAAAAAATATAAATGTGCAAAGAAGCCAGAGTTTTGGCATTGCGCAGTTAATATACACCAGAATTGTATATTGATTTTCAGCTAAAAATTAGTAACTTTATAATGGAGAAGTATACACATATTTTCTTAATACCAGTTATGTAGATGTAATAACTTACTGGCATTTTGCAAAAACCACAACACACTTATGTTTACAAGTATAAATAAAATTGAAAATACATATCTAAAATCTAGAAAAGAAATAATGCATATTTTACATTGCCATCACTGCCAACAAAAAATCCAGGTCGTGTGCTGCGTTCATTTGAAAATGACTGGGTTTGACATTGAGCCTGTTGCGACGACTGCCTTAAGTCCTGGTATCCTGATTCGAGTTCTGTGTAGGACATGATGCTTCTATCGATATGTACTAACAATGCATTTATCACTTAACGTTGTTATTAATGGTTGGAAATTGGTAATATCAAAATCATTCACATGCAAAGTATGGAATGGGCAATTTGGCGAGGTTACAGCGAATGATAGTTATGCTTAGTATTTGTTAATATATTACAAATATGGCTGTTGATAAACTGCAAACTATATAGTACTGTTCACTAAAACTTTCAATATTTCACAATTTACTAAGAGTTTTCTTCTTCGCTTTTTTCACATTGCATTGACTATAACTATTGATTTTTTATCTTCAGCAAATAGCACAAATACACTTTGACAACAACAACACAGCACAATATTTTTTTATCTAAAAATTATATAATTTTCGAATGCTTTATCTACCAATTAGTAATTGCAGAAAAATTTTACTCATAAATTTCCAACACTTTCACACAAGCTTTTCTGGCATCCAAATTTAATTAGATAGACTAGCCAAAATTCGCGAATGTCGTCAAAAATTGCTGTGCTGTCAAAATGTACTCATAATGAATTTTTTGTTTAGATTTGCAGCCCAACTGTTTGACACTTCAGCTCGTGTTTCTGCTGGTTTGACGTCGGCAGGCACTTTGCAGAAATCAGCTGTGTAGGAATTTGGGCAGACGAACATTTTTGTTGTTGTTTTCCAACAACCAGTCAGCTGTGTTTTGTTTACTAACATTTGATGTAACAACAACAATGGGTATTCAAAGTACATATACCAAGCACGTTGATCTACACTAGTTTCCTTTCGGTGTTGATAGTAAATTATTCAATTACAGTTATGGCAGAAGTTTTGTAAAGTATTCCTTATGATATTTTGTAGGCAGATTTCGTAGGCGAGATTTTTTGTTGTTTTTAACATGACTCAGTTAATGTTACACAAATAAAAACTTAAACATACCGCGTTATCGATAATCTCTGACAGATATATCGATAGCACAAGATTTATGAGTTGCCAGCAATATTGAGTCAAAAAAATATTAGATTATTTGAGAATAAAATGAAAACCACCGTGGTTTTAAAAATGATTTTTAGAATCCTTTTACTTCCAACTTCTTTTTAGGTCTATACCATGCCATTCAGCCAGAGAACATAAATGGTTGTTCTAAGTTCTCTGATTCAGCAACAGAACATTGATTTGACTATTTGAATGTGTGACCGTTTAGCAGAAAGGATGCATGATAAATTCAAATACTAATGCAGTAGAGGTTAAAGTTTTTAAATATTTTTACGGCCTCAAAATCGATCCTGTTTCCGAAACCAGCTTAAAAACTGGATCTTAAAATAAAATCTGGTTACTTTTTTTTTTAATTTCTTCAAAATGAATCCTTTCTACTAATTAGTGGCTTAAACCAATATGCATGTATGTACTTGTCAGGCTGCGTTTTACGTTTTCTTCAACGTTATTTTCCATTTTCAAATAAGGGCATGTGAAAGCGCCACTTTAAAGATCGCTATACATAACCAGGGATGGATAAAACACTTTTAATGAAAATCTGCTTACTTGCAGAGGTAGTCCTTCCTAAAATATTATTAAACTGTTGCTACAAAGTAACTAAAATTACTTAGTCACAGTTAGTCAAACATTTTACCTACCTAGTTAACGTTTGTTACTTGGCGATATCGTTACGGCAACCGTAGTAACCTATTTGTTAAATATCATTTGAAACTTTCGAATTTTTTCATAATCAAAAATTCGTTTTTGGAAGCAAAAGAAATAAAGAAATCGCGTTTTGATTATTTTAAGCTTGATTATATTAGATATCTTTAAATAATTTTTACAAAAACTGAACATAAATCCACGATGTTAAATTGTACATCACGGGGCAAAGAAGCTGCAATCGAATTACCGAAAGTCGGTAATAAGAAGCCTATAGTACTATCATCTCAGCGCTTTAATAAATTACTAAATAATGCCAACCAGACGGATAAACTACGAGCTCAGAAAGAATTAGAGGAGGAACAAAAGTACAAAGAGTATTTGAAAGAGGGCTCCGATCAATTGGTTGCACATTTCAAGGGTAACATACAACGAACTCAGGATGAGAAGTTGGCTGAAATTAAAGCTCATATGGAAGAGAAGATTACAAAAAGTGAGCCATCTCAATACTTGTATAAAAAGAAACCGATCAAATTATTACCAGTTAAATACAAACAATTCAAAAAGCTAAATAGCCTCACATGTAACATTCAGTATACCACTGCTAGACCCGATTCCCGTATTTCAATCAAAATTTAAGTAGCTACATATATATTCGAAAAATATATATTTATGTATGTATGTAAACGACTTTGGTTCACTTCAGGCTAAATGCCATATTTAAATAAAAATGAAACTAATATTTATTTTCTGTTCTCAGTTTTACATGCTCACCATGAATTTTATTTCTTATTATAACAGTTTTATTTAACGTATTAATTGCACATGGTATCTATTTAGTGCAGGAAAACTTCCATAAGACAAAAGAAAATGAAGAACGCAAGCGGAGCGAGAAACTGGCAAAAGCACAAAACTTGATCGAGCAATTGAAGCCGGGTCCCAAACAGCTCCAGTCGGCTGCCTTACAAAGTGAGGTGCTTCGAGCGCGTAACGTGCAAAGAAACATAAACAAAGAGTTCGAAAGAGCTATTAAGCAACAAGAATGCATGGATAAGATGGCTTGCCAACAACAAGCATTGGGTTTCATGGAAGAGGATCTACAGCGGCAATTAGAACGACATCAGGCCATGGACGTTTACAAAAAGGAAATGCTACAGACCATTAACGACAGCACCAAACAACGTGCGGAATGTAAAAAACAGCTAATTAAAGAGCAGCAAGCAGCGCGAGAAGCTATGGACCAGGAGATTAAAGCACAAATCGAAAAGGAGAAAGCGATTATGGAGAAAAAACGAGCTGCACTGCGTAAAAATGCATTAGAAGCCATGAAAATGGTTGAACAGCGTAGATTAAGTATGTAATTTTTATTTTCGTTCTAATATTTAACCTGAGCTCCCTTTTCTAGGAGAACGTATGACTGAGGAAATAGAAAATCGCCTTTGTTGTGTTTACAATTTGGGCAAACAAGACTTGAATGCTGCAAAGCAAGAGGAGGAGAAGAAACCCGCACCAGAGGAAGAGAAGAAACAAGAGATGCAAGTTCAATTCCTTCGCTGTATTCAAGCTAAGACCGAAGCAGAAGACGACGAGCGTGTGCGCCGTGATATTAGTCGTATGCAGTTGAAGTTCACAGCTGAGGAGCAAGAGAAGATACGCAAAGACAAGGCGGCGAAACAAGCGCGTATCGAGGCTTATATGCGTGAGCTACAGCAACAAAAGGAGGCCAAGCGTCGCAGTGAGGAAGAGAAGCGTTACGATATGGCAACACGCTTTAAGAACTGCGAGGTAAATCGTCTATTCGAAGAGGCACAAAAGCAACAGCGTCTAGCCAAAATACAAGACACACGTAAAACATTACATGAGCAAATGGAGCAGAAAAAAAAGAACGAAAAGGAAGACAAAGAACTCATGCGTACTTGCGAAAGTAATCACGAAGAGCGTGAGGATAAATTCTTCTTCGAATATGCACGCAATCTTATGGAGGATGCACACAAAAAAGATCGCCCACTATATCCATTCGTTAAAGTGGTGCAACAGTACAAGCGTGATCGTGGCATTGACTGTGAAAGAAAAACACCAAAGCATCTGTTGTCACAGGTTAACATTGGTACACGACAACCAGGAGATAGCAAGCAAGATGGCGATCACACTGCCGCGGCAGTGCCAACGAAAAGCTCGAAATCGAAGTTAACACCGAGGAGCTCGGCTGAGGGGTTGCATATAGGTAAATTCACTACTTCAGGAACCGATAAATTGACGACAGAGAAAAATTTAAAAGATAGTATACTTGAAAATTGCCTTAAAATATCCGAGCTAATTGCGGCTGATACCAAAAAGACTGGCGGAAACAAGGAAAAATGTGATAATAGATTAATAGACTGTTTGAAGCCAAGCAACCGTGTGGCCGAGGCAAAGAAAGAGGACGACTGTGAATCGTTAATCAGTAACAGCAAAGTGCGATATACCATGTTGGAATTGAAAGAATTGAATCAATTCACATAAACGTATGTGCCAGCGATAGAAGCGTAGATATTGCAGCTTGTTTCAGCTTATTTTCATTATATTTTTGTTAATTGTTCGTGTGCATTTTCAACATACATGTAATAAATGATTTCTTGCAAATAAAAATGTAGTTTGGTTTATTTGAAAATGAGCTTGGCTCCCTTAAGTGCATAAGAAATTCACAGTTCAGTTATTGAATAATTTTTATTAATATATAATAGAACGTGCTGGAAGATGGGATAGCCCTTATGTATCAGGTTTGAATGCGGGGTGACCTGTAAGCAGAAAAGTAATCAAGTCATTAGTTGTAAAAATTTAGTAATAACTATGTTAAAAGTCGACTTAAGACAAGTGCTTATTGATTTCAAATCAAAATCTTGGTATATATCGTAACGCAATCTGATCGTAATTTCAACTATTGTGTTACAGATTGTTTAATTCATGCAGAGTAAATTGTTCGGAATAACTAATATTATCATTAATTTAAGTCGATACTTCAGTTTACATATACTAATAATAAAAATGAGCATTTAATCACCATTTCAGATTATTTTTCAGCATTTTGGTTTTGATACGTTTGCGATCACGACTAATTATTTCCATGCGTTCCTTAGGCGTCGTTTGGAAAAGAATCAAATGAAGGGTGCGCGTCGAAGAAATTAACTACAAAAAAAAAATATATATAATATATTAAAATGTAATTATTAAATTAATATGGATACCGAAATACAAAAAGGTTTGTTACACTTAAGGTTTGACTAACCCTAACCTATTTTGTCGAAGCCACGAAAATATTGAAAAATCAACAAATTAAAAAAATATATATACTACACATATATATTGAAAAGTTTTCCCAGAAAATGTTTTCTTCCCATTTCTCAATTCTTTCATGAATGGTTTTGCTACTACAATAACTGGCCTTTTTTTAATGCCATAAAAGCAATTGGTCGGAAAAAAATGGATTTCATTTTGGTAATATATGGTTTTAGAGTTGCTCTACAGATTTGGCATAGCTTCTACAACTACAACAACAATCTTTTTTTGTTATAAGAATGAGATAGTTTCATCAATTTCTTGAAGAGTTGAAGAGAGTCATAGCCACGAGGCAACTTGAGCTCTTCAACTGCAATGAAAGGAGAGTTGACATTGTGTGGATTAAAGGTACTCGTATTTTTTTGAAATATATTCCTGTATACAAATTTTTTGGCATTAAAATTAACTTATTAGATTTTATTAATTTCACAATAAAATGAGTTGATGTAAAATGACTGCAAAAACAATAAGTAGAAAGTATTATAATATAATTTTTAGCTATACAGTTTTTATAATTACATTGAATTTTAGTAGTTTTAATATAAAACAAAAAAGTTTAAACTTTCCTTCACAAATAAAAAAGTTTCCATATGAGAACTTGATTTTTATCGGTCAGTGTGTATGGCAGCTATATGCTATAGTAGTCCGATATCGGCTGTTCCGACAAATAAGCTCTTGGGGAGAAAAAGACGTGTGCAAAATGTCAGATCGATATCTCATAAACTGAAGGACTAGTTCTCTTATATACAGACAGACAGGCGGACAGATGAACGTGAACAGACGGAGCCGTACCTACGACAGTCGGGTCTACGTAACCGGAACGGACCCGGATTTATTCCAGCCAAGGAGTGTCAACTCGGCAGAATTCTGCCGCTACAACAACAACAACAATAGACGGACATGCCTAAATCGACTCAGCTTGTCGGGCTGATTATTGATATATATTTTTTTGGGGTCTCCGAGGTTTCTCTCGGGGTGTTGCAAACTTCGTAGCAAAGTTAATATACCATGTTTATGGTATAAAAATACAAATCTACTGGATTAACAAAATTTGCTTGCTCACCTGCTTTAAAAGTCGTGCTTTAAGTTTGATATTAACAGGAGCACTCGCTTCTACAGGGTCCTCGCAGGTCTCCATGTGTAAGTTCAAAACGAATATTAACGTGTCTTTGATTGTCTGTACAACACGCTGAACTTGTTCCGTTTGAAATAGACGACGCACCAAATAACCACGTACGAACGCATTGATCTTAGTCGCTGCAGACGCTCGTCGCTCAGCTTCTACGCATGTGTTGGTAATCATCGACTGACGCTGTTTTTTTAGGACAAAAAGTTTTCGGTAACCAATGTACATATGTTATTGTTATTATAATTTGAATTAAAAATTGTATGTGTGAGAGTTAGAATTTTTATTAACTAAATTATTCATAATATGACATTTGTTAAGATTTTTCTAGATAATTTAGGCACTTGATAATAGCCGCAAGGACATTGTGTAAGTATAATATATACATAAGTGTTATTCTAAAATATCGTTGAAATTTTACAAGTGTTATCTTGTAAATTAGAAATTTTAGCAGAAATTCAAACTGAAGTTGTTTTAAAAACAAGTATATTCAAATGCATATGTACAATCCTTCTGTGTATATGTAGGTGTGTAGTAAAATACATGTGAACGATTAAATGGAAAATAATAATATCAAATGCGAAGTGCCCAAATTTGTTATAATGGTAAATCATAAATGTATGCACAAGTGTGTCTCCCAACGAAACCTTTCATGTTTCCCACACTCCAGCACATACTTGTAATGCAGTACTGACTGTTTGCGGCTAGATTTGATTGATTGGTTGATTGTTTACAAGATAAGGCACAGTGAGAGATCATCGTTATGGGATTAGTTATTTTAATTTATGTGTTAGATTTGAATATCGTTTGAAAATGCTTCTCCTTTCACTGAAATGTTATCAACTGTTATTGTAAAGCTTTTTCAATTTATGAAAAGAGAAAAAATAGATATGAGATAATAATAGAAAATGTTAGTTTACATATAATACCAAATACAAAGTGTTTTAAAAATGAAGTGTCTAATAAGTAAAAATTATCATAAAATAACGAATTATGATGCTAAGCAAATTTGTTTTTGCTGGTAAAATTAAGCAAGTTTCAAAATTCAATTCTTATGAAAGCGGATGTCGATATGGTGAAAAAAAACATGTTGAACCATTATAATATATTTGAAAGGCTAAAACCATTTTTCGCGCTTTTAAAAGTTAAAAAATGTTAAAACGTTGTAAAATCGGTTAGATTCTAGTTACGAGCTATAATTTTTTGTAAGTTATTTTCGATTTTTTTTTCTTTTTACCTAGCCTATTTATTTCGCAAAGTTTTAGTTCCAAATTATTTCAAAAAGCGAATTTAACATAAATTTTTACTTTTGAATATTTTCTTCTGTGCACAAACTATTTTTATACCAGTTGACGACATTGCTTTTAAGTTGGTGAAGAACTTTTGCTATAAATTTATTAAAAGTCGACGTTAACCGGAATTTTAAGACACAGTGTAAAGTTAGATGGGTTATTCACTAATTTTGTTGTTTTATTCGCAATTTTCAGTTATTCAGATAAATCAAATAACAGCCAAGGAACTCAACGAAAAAATCGGACATCGAATATCCAAATATAGTATTTACCCATATAGACAAATTACTGTTAATACGGGTAAGTTGTATTGTATAAATAAATAAGTAATGAACATGCAAATATGTTCCAGTATTGATTATACGTCAAAACATGAAAAGCGCTGAAGACGTCAGAAAGCTTGGACGCATTTTAAGAACTTTTTTAATCAAATTTTGAAAAAGTTAAAATAAAAAGTCGATATTAACCGGAAATTCGTTAATTCTGTCAAAAAAAATTTTTTTTCTGGATATCCATAATATTCGAATAATTTTATATGCATACTCGTAAAATACCTCAGTCGTATATACGTATGTACGTAAATATATTATTTAATACTGTCATGCACACTTACGCGACTGTTTGACGCTCCACTACTAGTGCCATTCGAGCGTCCAACACTATTAGTTATTCCACTGTGGTTGCTGTTGATCGACACACTTCTGTTTGAAGCTGTTGGCGAAAGGTCGTGTGAAAAGAGCCGCCGCCGAGGAGTGCAGGTATTACTGCTTTGCGATGTCGCCGGTAATGTTGATGAGTCGATAGATAACTCCAACGATGGTAGTTGGATTGCACCTGACATCAAGTCCAAAGAATTTGTTGCAACAGAACTGTTGGCACTCATTGTTGGCGACTGTAAAGTGAAGGTCTCAGCACAGTCTGACCTTGCTGTGGGTGAATTTTCAACCGAGCCATGATAACTAATGTCAACTCTTTTGTTGTTTACATGATCTACAGCATGTTGTATTTGTACGTTGCCTATTTTATTTGTCAACTGCTCTAGCAAATACCTTTGTTGCTCTTCGAATACCTGCTGCATACGTTGTTGTTCACGTTTTTGTTGCGCCAATAGCTCGAGAAATTTTTGACGGTGTTCATCTTCAATACCGTTGTATTGTTGACTGCCTGCTGGACGTTCGCGTGCAATTTCCGTGTTTACTTTAGCAGTTTGTATGCTTGGCATCGAAGGTGTGGGTTTCATTTGTTTGATAGCGGTTGTACCGGAAATAGATTTTTTCAGCTGACGTCCAATTTTCGGTTTAATTAATCTTTGCTCATAAGGTGAACGTTTACTTTTAATGCCTGAATGGTGTGTTGAGGATGGACTTGTAATATTTGTGATTGAAGGCTTTAGTTGTATGCGCATTGGTTGTGTGCGTGGCTTAAGATCAACTTTTTGCACACGTTTCGCCTTTGATTCGACAGTGTCGCGTGTGGCGCTCATCGAAAATAAGTTGGAACGTTTGGTAGGATAAATGTCATTAGGTACTTGTTGTTGACGAATGTGTTCAATTAATGCTTTCGAAGGATAATCTAGTGTAAAGGAGTTTGAGCGCACTAAGCAGTTTTCATTTTGCGTTGTTCTGTTAACATCGAGAGATTTTATTTTGGACTGTGTTCTCTCGGATAGTAATGATTTCAATGATGGACTTGTTGCCGATCTCTGTGGTGGCTTTATGTTAGAACACTTGGGTTTTTCGCTTTTTGTCTCTGTTACGGAAAAATTTTCAAATTTAAGGATTTTGCTGGTAATGTTCGTTACTTTGTGATGAGTTTTCAAATCTCGGTCAAGATTTGTGGGGGACTCCATATAGTTGGAGGTTTCGTCTGAAGTTAGTTCTTCCTGCAATGACTTGTTAACATTTTTTTTCGGTGTTTCTTGTTTATTCACATTTATAGCGTCAATACTACTTTGTTCTTTAAGAGTATCAATAAATGAACGCGAACTGATTATTGGTGTTGGTGGATCAATACATATTGATGGTATTTTCTTTAAAACCTTATCTGATTTCTGACGTGCAGCGCAATTTATAATTGCATTTTTATCTTCTTCTATTAATTCAACTTTTTGTCCAATTGGCTTTTCATCTGGATGATCCAGATTTATTTGTTGCTGTTGTTGTTGGAAGATTTGCACTTCATCCTCTGTCAAAGGGCTGATGACTGTATTAGAACGATGGTCGTAAATCAAAGTTTCTGATTTTTGTAACTTATGCATACGCTGCATTAGATTATTTTCTAAAGAGTTCGACTGTTGCATTTCTACATTAATTTCACTAGATTCACCGGCAGTTTGACGAATTATTTTTGTCCGATTTTGTTTAGGCGTAGATAATTTAGCTTCATTTTCATTTTGTGTCAGAATATCTGAAAGTAGCATATACGATTTTTCTGCTTCTATACGCTGAGCATCAAGTTCTATTAAATGCTCAGATAAACTGCAGTTACTACTACTTTCGTTTTTATTATATATAACATCTGTATCTTCGTTTAGTTCTTCAAGCACTGTGCCGTATTCTAAATTATATCTCTGTTTCCTATGTCGATTTTCCTCTAAGCGTTGCTCTATTTTAATAGCCTTTTCTTTTAATTTCTGCATTTGTCGTCGCTTGTCGGCGGTCATCTAGAAAATGTTTGAACATTATTGGACATATGTGTACAAGTATATATAAAGGTGATTCACTTAGGTGTAATAGAGCGTGAAGCACACATTCAATACAATGCTTCTGCCAGTTGACTTTAAAGTGATCATATAAACTTACTAATGGCGGTATAATAGGAACTCCATCGATGCGGAACACCGACACATACTTTGGTGCAGATATAGAGAGGGCAAATATGGGGTTTATGCGCGTAGTAGCTGCTGCGCTTATTATATCTGAGTTGATATCTTCCATTATTATAACCATAGATATATTAAGATTTCTTTATTCTCACGGAAAATTCCGATTCTTGGTTGCTAATTTAATTAGTAATATGAACGTTGAATTTAGAATTCTTATTTTCGCAGTGAAATACTCGATAACTCTTTTAAATTTATATCATTCTGAAATTTAAATTTGGCAAAAAAGTCCAAAATATTATGAACACAAATTTAAAAACATGTAGAAAATTTGAAATTTTGTGGATTTTGTTTTCACTCAATCTATTTGTTTACGTTTCTATGGCTACTACCTGTGGACGCATGTAGCCGAAACTGCATTTACGATTCTCCAACACTTTCACGAAAATTGCGATCGAAATTGTTTGTTTATTTATTTGGACTAATAAATTATTCAAAATATCTAAATGCATATAAGCGCGCCTTCAACTCATTCAGTTAATCAACAGAAATTTACCAACAAATTTTTACAAATTCCATCAAGTGTCAGTTGGATGCACGTTCTTATCTCATGCTCGATTATATTCACAATTGGATTTCGCAGCGCAATTGTAAGGAAACCGGTTAATTAGCAATGACAGTTACTTATTTTAAGAAGACTTAAAATATTATCAGGTGAAAGAACAGCTTATGTCTAGTACTTTTTAAACATAAAATTAACTAAAATGGATTCGTAGATAATTGTATACATTATTTGTTGGTTAGTGAATGTGAATAGTTTGTAAGGAAAGTCATAACTGAATAGTTGGTAACTTTAAAAAAACTTCACGATTTAGTCAACATTTAGCATATTCATGAAAATACATATATTATACCTTATTTAAAAGCATTTATTTAGTTTCAAACACTACAAACAAAACTGTTTAGTCGCAGGAACAGTTGGAAAGTATCTACTCTGACGTCTATGACCAGCCTAATTTTGTTATGAAATGTAAATATTTATATTTGGCGGATGTTTCAAAGTAGCGGGAAACTAACATAGTTTTGTAAACGTCTGAGCAAATTGTTTTATACTAAAATTAAATTATATTGATTGGATTCACTAGTGTAGATAGCATTATGAGTACATTAAAAAGAGTAAAATCGCCAATGGAGCAACAAAATGAAACTTCTACAAAGAAGTTAAGAATTAGTAATAATGAGATAAAATCATTTGATATTGATGGTTTTAGTACTACAGAGTTGGAAAACTTTTTTGACAGTGATGATGACTTTGATGCAATTATAAATAGCAAAAACTTATCAGTGCCGCAAGGTAAACTTTTAGATCTTAGTAAATGGCAACGATGCATTGTAGTGGAAGTGGAGCGGGAACGATCTACTTTCGATTTAGTGCTACAAGTGCGCTTAGCCAACTGCGAACAAGTGGAGAATTTCGACAAGGAATATAACACTGTATTGACAAAATGCCGCCTGCAGCAACAGTGGAGCCACACTGATGTTAAGAAAGATGACATTATCTCCCTAACATGCTTGTGGGATCAAAAATTGATGTGCTATAAAGTAAATAATGAGCATGGATTTTGTGTCACTAACCCTGACACATTAATTTCTAGTACTAGTGTAGTTGGCTCGCTTTTCTGCCGTAGAAAAGCAGTGCTGCAGGAGCGCTTCAAGGGAATTGATGCCAACAGCAAAATTGTAAGTATACGCACATACATAGGTATATGTATATTCTGTAACACATAATTTCTAATTCTTATTTGCAGATGGTAGTGGGGTCAATGGTACATGAAATGTTGCAGTTGGTACTACAGAAAAACCTAAGAAACGCAGATGATATTGAGTCCACTGCTAGAAAATTATTACACTCCAAGGAAACAGCTTATGAACTTTATGCGAATTTAATGTCACGTGATGATCTAGAATTTGAAATGCAAAAGTTTATACCAAATGTGATAAGTTTTGTAGAACAATACATTAAAGGCAATCAACCAAATGTGGTACGTACGTATATAATCATATCAAGGTATTTGGAGCTAAAAATTAGTGTTATATTAATCTTACAGCGTCTTAAAGACACTTTCCAAGGTACTATTGAACACATACAGGACATTGAAGAGAATGTTTGGGTGCCACAACTCGGTTTGAAAGGTAAAGTAGACGTATCGGTGCGCATCAAGCAACGAAAACATGAAAAAGCCACAAATGCTATACCGTTAGAATTGAAAACTGGACGCGCCACTTTTTCAATGGAGCATAAGGGTCAGGTTATGTTATACCAAATGATGCTAACTGCAATTGGACGTGAAACGAATTCCAGTTTATTACTTTATTTACGTGAAGGCATAATGCGCGAGTTACGTGGAACCCGTAATGAACAGCGTGACCTTATAATGTTACGTAACGATTTAGCGCGCTATATATCATACCTTAGTGATATATCAGCAACTAATACAACGGCCGTAGCAACTGAAGAAGAGGACAAATTTTTACAGCCCTTAAAGTTGCCGGAACCAATTTCACATCACAGCGCCTGTGGCAATTGTGAATATGCAACAGTTTGCTGCACTTTCGCCAAGACTGACCCAGAACTACATTTAAGAAAAGGTCATCCTTTATTAACAGTTATGCACAATGTCACCGAACACTTACAAATAGATGATTACAAGTATTTTATGCACTGGTGTCGTTTGCTTGCATTAGAAGAACATGAAATGAAGAAGTCGAACAATTTGCGGTCTCTTTGGACCAGTACACCAGAACAACGTAAGAAAAAAGGTCTTGCAATTGTGGATGTGCAGCTGAAAAACATTACTTGTGAGGGAACGCATTATTTAAACAATTTCATGATAGCGGCAACTGGCGATAATAGAGACGCGGATTTATTGTTGAGTGGTGTAATAATAACAACATATACACTTAGTTCTTGTATTATTTTAATGTCTACCGTTTGTTTTAGTTCTCTATCGGCGAATATGTGATAATCAGCACACGCAAACGGCTAGCTGTGGCAGCTGGCTCAATTGTCAATATGACAAGTGCCGAAATTACCGTTAGTCTCGAACGCGATCTGAAGAAAAACTATGCAAACGTTGCATTTATCATCGACAAACACGAATCGCAATCAGGCAACTCATTCAATTTCACAAATGTCAGCTTGTTGTTGGATAATAACGAGCGTGCGAAAATATTGCGGGATATTATAGTGCAACGCACACAACCTACTTACCGCAAAGTACTGCCAAAAATTGTTGCAACTGCGGGTGCAGCTATACTTAAACAACTGAATTCGGTGCAACGATCTGCCGTACTCAAGGCACTAACTGTAGAAAGCTATATGCTAATCAAAGGCCTGCCAGGCACAGGTACTTCGCACAATCTGGCTGATTATTGCATATATGTACAATGTATATTTATTTTTTGTTCTTTTCGTAGGCAAAACGCAAACCCTCGTGGCTATTGTGCGCCTATTACATTTGATGGGTAAATCGGTGCTCATCACCAGTCATACACACTCCGCAGTCGACAATTTGTTGGTGCGCTTGAAAGCACACAAACTGCCAATACTGCGTTTGGGCTCCGGTGCGCGTATTAACGCCGAGCTGCAAGAGTTTGGCGAGCGCACTTTATTACAAGATTGTGCGTCTATCGAAGAGTTAACGCAAAAATATAATTCGTACAATATTGTGGGTGTCACTTGTCTAGGCTCAGCGCACCCGCTGTTTTTACATAGAAAATTTGATTTTTGCATAGTTGATGAAGCCACACAGGTTATGCAGGCGACAACGCTGCGTCCGCTCTTCTTTTGTGATAAATTTATATTAGTTGGGGATCCCGAACAGCTGCCGCCTCTGATACGTTCAAAAGAGGCACGGCAACTGGGTGCAGACGAATCACTTTTTGAGCGCCTCGACACCAAAACCGCCACAGCTGTGCTGACACTGCAATATCGCATGAATAAAACCATAACACGACTGGCCAACGAACTCACCTACAAGGGTGCACTGCAATGTGCCTCTAAGGAGGTTGAGCTAGATGCGCTTCAAGTGAATTTGTCGAGAGACAAAAAACCTGCAAAGTGGTTACAGCGCGCCTTGCAAACACATATAGATCAAGCGGTGTACTTATTGGACACGAATGATTGCATTGAACGGCTCAACGCTTTTAACAGCGGCGAAAAGAGCACCGCGCTACTCACTGCCGCTGCTCGTTTTATTGACAAGGAGGAGCGTAAGGAAAGCGTGCCATCACCAACTGATAATGAAAAACAAAATAAAAGCGCCAAGCGTATATCCAAATACACAAATTACTGCGAAGCTGCAATTATCATGCATATAGTTGAGCAATTACTGTTGGCAGGTTATGCGCCAGCACGTATTGGCGTGATTGCGCCGTATCGCGCACAAGTGGAGCTGTTGCGTAACTTAACTGCACAGTTTGAGCTTCACCACAATACCGAAACGTCGAAGCTGAGTTTTTCCTCGGTCGAAGTCAACACCGTTGATCAATATCAAGGGCGGGACAAAGATATTGTACTCTTTTCTGGAACGCGCACTGGTACTGTGGATGCAAATGAACGTGCGCGCGAAGCAGAAATTCTGGAGGACAAACGTCGCCTTACTGTGGCGATTACACGCGCCAAACGCAAGCTGCTGCTGGTTGGCGATGCTGCGTGCTTGACTAAATATACGCCTTTTCACCTGCTGCTCGAGCACATTCCCAGCTACTGCAAGTTGCAGCTGGAGGATGGTAAGCTTGGCTTCGAATGGCAGACACTATTGAATAATATGTCTAGCATTATTAAGACTTAACATGTTCGGCTTAATTTAAGCATCTTTATCGTTTTAAGCATGACATTATTATATTATTTCGTTGCAATGATTATGCAAATTCACGGAAAAGCTGGAATTCTGTACTGATTTGTCCAACGCTGTGGGATGCGCGGCACGTATTTATGATTTTCCATTTTGTATTTTTCCGGTTCATTGATGTTATGAAGTTTGAATTTAATTGTTGTTGGTGAGTGCAACTGTGAATGATTACGTTTTTGATGTTGGTCATTTATTTTTGCTATAAAATTATTTATTAATTGGCTTACATCTTCGTCTTTGCCACATAGCGCATCTATAATACAGCCCATTTTCTATGTTTTTTTTTATACTTATTTTGATTATTTTAAGGAATGTTTTATTTATACAAAAAATATTATTTTGACATATTTTTTAGCACTAACGTCTCACTTGAGTATAAAAATTCTAAATATATCAAGTTCTATATTAAGAGCCGAAGGTCGCTCTAGTTTTCTCCAACCGCATTTATTTAATGTTTCAAATCCAAGGCTGCCGTTCATTTGCGATGAAGGCGATTTCAGTTCCAGCAAATCAATGCAGGAATAGGTTAAGAAAACAGCTCAGATCTGTAAAACTTTTGATTAGATTTTTAGAACTATCTCTGCTGCATGTTCCTTCGATTAGGAGTTCAAACAGGGCATAACCAAAGGGCATCAGAATTTTTATACGATTTATTAATGTTGACTTGACAGCATTCTTAAAAAATAGTTGGAAACCGTTTTAAGTCAAATAAAAATAAATTCGGACTTGTACAGTGATCTTTTAGCTTCAATCCTGCTCTTATAGAAACCTCTCGGCAACTTACGATTGACTTTTTAGGCTGGACTACGTCCGAACATTACATCTTATAATTCGCTTCAACATCTGCTATTTTCGATGTGTTTCACACCCCACATAGTTTTTACCTCAGGAATCAGTACTAATGGAGCTATCAAACAACAACCAATTGCAGGAGCCATTTCTATTTGCTGCATCACTAACAATCTTCATTTTTTACATTACTTCCTTATCTCTAGAGTTAAAAAGATTCATGCAGATACTCTCAACTGCTCCATTTGTTGAGAGAGAATTGTTGTTTGAGAGAATGTAAATAAACGCTTAACGAGTATTTCTGAGGTGAAAAAAAAACCAATTTGGACGGACCTGGCTGTCAAAAGCACTGGTTCTACACAAGCCTACTACATCAGTCGTGCTATAAGTGGACCCACGGTGGATAATTTTACTAGTGTTAATTTAATGACGTGTATGTGGAATTGTTGGAGTCGACACTGCGCACAAAAAGAAGACTAATTTTCCGTTTATTAAATGTCCCAAATAAGATGACCAGCTTCCAATTTTACAACTAACTTATTAAATTTTTTATACTCTCACAACATGTTGCTGTAGGGAGTTACATATATATTGACATACATATGGTAATCCGCGTGACTGTTTGTCCATCCGTCTCTCTGTCTATGCATGTGTTAACTTGAGTACAATTTGAGACTTTATAAAACTTTGTATACGTGTTCCTTGGTACAATAGAGAGGTTATTGTAGATGGGCGTATTCGGACCATTACCATGCCCAAATAAACGCCATTAAACGGAAATCTAAAAACGGTTTTAACTAACAAGGAAACGCAGAACAAAATTATTCGGCATATTCTCCGACAATTTGAAATTTTTTCTTCTCTTTTTTATTGAATCTTTCCTTAAGAAATTTACAATAATATATTCAAATCTTAAGACTAGTTTTAAGAACTAGAGTTAGCACCAGCGTGCCAACTTTTATGTATTCAAATCTTACAATATACAATAATTTTCTTTAATCACTTCGTTTTAACCTCTGATGGCCTTCGAATAGAAGCAGGTCCCTTGCTAGGGTGTTGGGATGAGTCGTTAGCTTATCGACGTATTTGATGGCGTATTTTTTAATATCTGCATGAATTGTAGGAATGGTGAGATCTCTATGGATATTTCGAATATACCATGGAGCACAGACAATTTGTCGTAAAAGCCTAGACTGTCTTCTTTGCAATTTCTGGACATTAGAGTCGCAAGCACTGCCCCAAAGCTGAATGCCGTAGTTCCATATAGGCTTTATAATGCACTTGTATAGAAGAACCTTGTGCTCAAGATCTAGTGTTGAATTAGGACCAATAATCCAATGCATTTGAGTGGTTTTGAGCTTAATGGCCGCTAATTTGGCCTCGATATGACGAGACCATGTTAGACGCCGGTCTAGATGGACTCCTAGGTATCTGAAGTGATTTTCGACAGGGAGCGCAATATTATTTTTTTTTTATTTGTGAGCAATCTTGTCTTCTGAGTGTAAAGGTTACATGAGCACATTTAGATGGATTAACTTTTATTCTCCACTCTTCTTCTAACCATTTTTCTAAATCATATATGTGCGACTGCAGTTGTGTTGATGCTACCTTCGGATCCTTGTTGACGCTTATAAATGCGATGTCGTCTGCATAAGTTGATGTGTATGTGTTTGGGTTTGAGGACATATCTGATGTATAAATTAAATATAGGAGAGGGCCTAATATGTTTCCTTGGGGGACACCTGCAGAGATTCTTTTTGTTGAGGATATTTCGTCCTTCAATCCGACCTTAAAAGTTCTATCAGTTAAATAGCTTTTGAAAAGTTTGTGTGTATTCTCGGATAGCAGTCGAATTATTTTGCTGATCAGCCCGTCGTAATAAACCTAAACGAATCCCTGGGATATGCCAATAAAGAAAGCTATACAATACTGCTTCTTTTCAAAAGCCGATCTAATGATAGTGACGGTTCTGAACAGGTGTTCAAAAGAACGTGATTAGCTCGTAATCCAAACTGATGTTGAAGGATTATTTGTTGCTCATGGAGGAACGGTGCTAAACTGTGGAGAAGAATTTTTTCGAACACTTTTGATAATATTGGTAGCAAGCTAATAGGTCTATATGATGTAATTTGACTTTTCTTTACCCGGCTTGGGAATCATAACAATTGTAGAAATCTTAAAAAATGATTAGTAAAATTCTTATAGCACAAATGGGTAAATGATTATCATTAATCTTGTAGTGCCATCTGGCCCTGCCGACTTTTTCACGTCAAGGCTTTTAAAAGCGGTCTGTACGTGAGAAAGCCGAAATTTGATAGGTACGTTAACAATATTACTTATGTTTGGTGCGCTGATATCAGTATTTGTGTCGTGTGATGTGAAGACCTTCTCCAGACTGTTTGCAAAAGCGTTAACTTTTTCGCTGGGGGTTTTGGCCCAAGTAAACAGATGAAATTGCGATATTTGAATCTAATATGTTTATAGTTGTAGCTTGGATAAATTCTTCTTTAAAGACGCATTGGGGAATGCCTCACATTTTTCTTCACAATAATGGCGCTAGTATCATAGGTGTAATAGCCTTTGATTCTAGTAAGATATTTTCAGGAGGTGAATTTTTTACTAAGTAAAAATTGCAGAAGCAGGTTTTGAGTTTTCATCATCTTCTGGAACATACTCTGCATATTAGACATAAAACTATTTATTATCTGTATGGCTATGTATGTTATATGGCTATCGATTGAGGTCGAATGAATATTAGCCTGTGGACTATCTTTTACAACAGTGGCGTTAGAAAAGTTTTTTGCTTTTAAATCATTTTGCTTGCCACTAAAATGTAGCATTTGTACATCTGTCCTTAATGCTTCAGCATAGAAAACGTTTGGTCTATTTGATGCCAGGTTACTAGGTTGAGTACTAGCAACAGAGCCAGTTTACAGGCTAGGATATTGAGCTTTCTTAAAGTTAACATGTGCGAAGGTACGTAGTACTTTTGATTTCATAATGTGCGTGTACACCTTACAGCCCCTGTAATTTGCGGTATGGTTCTCCCCGCATTTACTGCATTTTTTGATTTTGGTGTCATTTTTGGCGTGCAAGCATTCTGAAGAGCTTGGAGCATCGCCGCAACCGATGGTAGACAGTGACCCCACAGAAAGTAGTCTAGCGGTGTTAAATCACAAGATCTTTGAGGCCAATTCACAGGTTCAAAACGTGAAATTAGACGGTTACCAAAGTGTCTTTCAATTAATCGATTGTGGCACAAGCTGTGTGACATGTTGCGCCGTCTTGTTGGAACCACTGCTTCTGGATATCATGGTTGTTCAATTCAGGAATGAAAAAGTTAGTAATCATGGTTGTATACCGATCACCTTTGAGTGTAATGTTCTGGCCATCATCGTTTTTGAAGAAGTACGGACCAATGATTCCAAACAGTCAGTTTCCTGGATGTAACGGTGTTTCGACATATACTTGAGGATTAGCTTCACTCCAAATGCGGCAGTTTTGTTTGTTGACGTAGCTATTCAACCAGAAGTGCGCTTCATCGCATCATACGATAAAATGAACGTAGTGCGCGATACGTATTCCTCAAAGAAACATTATTTTCGAAATAAAATTGCACTATTTGCAAGCGATGTTCAGGCGTGAGTCTATTCATGATGAATTGCCAAACCAAACTGAGAATATATCACTTGAAAGCTGTTAAATCGGTCGCCATCTTGAACAGTAATGCCAACTTAAAGTTCTATACCTCGAAAAAAACACCCGTTATATGGTATGCACTGAGTTTTTCGATGTTATGTGCGATGCATCGAATGCGATCCCTACTCGGTGTATTGGTTGTGGGGCCTTATTCTTATTAAAAATATTGTACACCGATCTTACACCATAAGCCTCTTCTTCTAATTCTTTGAAAATGGGTGAAATCGAATGTTAACCCCACCCACTCTCTATATAAAGGTTATGTGGAAAACTAAAAGTGCGATAACTCACTCAATAAACACGTCAGAAAAAGTAAATTTCACAGTCAAAATGCTGCAAAAGAGCCAATTAGAAGTCGGTGTCAAAATTTAGCGGCCATCATATTGGCATTTCCATATTACTGTGTGAGAATGAACCACACCTCCTTTCTATATAACTTAATTTTAAATTCCATCTAACTTTTTCACTTTGCAGTAAAGAAATCAAGAGTCAATAAATTTATCGGGTTAAAATTTTGCAAAAATAGTGCATTTGAGGTATGCCATCTTAAGTCTAGAAATTGTCAAAATCGGACCATAACTTTTCAAGCTTCTAGATAATGAATATGTGGACCTGAGTGCCTATTACTGGTTTTTTACAGAAAAGAGAAGTTAACATTTTAGTATTTGTGTGCGAAAAAAGGTTGAAATCGGTTTACAGCTTTCCTTATATATGATTTAATGCGCTCCGATTTTCATAAAAGAATCTAGCTAAATTTTTAACTTTCACAGTTTTTTGTTTATTCTTCCTTTGATAATTTTTCGAACTCTCATACTGAGACGTGACTGAAGGGCACTCCACTCAAAGGCGACGAGTCAAACCATTACATACTCGTATTTGAATACCGGCACCTCTCAGCGCTAAGCTGTTGCCTGAGGTGCATAAATATTATTAAAATGACGTGTCAAAAAGCACTAAGAATAAGAGAAAAAAAAACGGTAAAAACGAAGTGATGCGAGCATATCCGTTTCGAAGAAGAGAGGACTATTTGCAGACAACAAACAGCATATGTTTTGGAATAATGAGTGGATGAAATTGCATTGACGTGCTGTAAATGATGGCGGTGATGATGAGCTACAGAACGTGTGCAGACTACACAATGGCCGACAGGGTGGGCCGACAAAGCACACACATACACACATATGCGCTTATGTATGTAGATATGTACAGTTATAGCCAATTTAGATGCAGAGACTACAATGAGTTAGCATGCCATATACCATA